GGGCTGCCTCCCGGGCCCGGGATCTCCTGTCCTGCCCACCGCCCGGCGGGAGACCGCCTACGAGAAAACTGCCAACAGTCAAACCAGTTTCAGGACTTTCTCTCCCATGTCCGGGCTTTCAAGGAAAGCCGAGGTGCCCGCGCAGACATTCCCTGGGAGGCCGAGAATGGATGGTCCCAAGGCACGTCTAGCCAGAGAGGCCAGCCCCTCCCGTGAGTCCCACCGTGACCGCAGGGACCGAGTGGCGGTGGGTGCCTCCGAGAGCGCCTGGTCCGAGGAGAAGATCGTCGTTTTGGGAAAGAAAAGGGAAGCTCCGGCCGCGAGGGAGCAGGAGAGAAACCGGCCGGTGACCATCCACGTGAAGCGAGAAGAGAAGATGTTTGACTCGAAGGAGAAGGCTTCGGAGGAGAGGAACCTACGGTGGGAGGAGCTGACAAAGTTGGATAAAGAAGCGAGGAAGAGGGAGAGCGAGCTCATGAGGGACAAGGCGAAAGGGAGGGAGCCCCCCAAAGAGACGGGTGTGCGGGCGAGAGAGATACCGATCCGCCTGGAAGTGTCCCGGGACAGCCGGGCAGAGGAGGGGGCCCCCCGAGGGGCCCGGACGCCCCTACAAAAGGATGCAGGTGGTGGTCCGGGGGGAGGGATGGACACGCGGAGAGAGACGAGGTTCGGGCTGGACACCAGGGAGGCCGCGGGCTCGCCGAGCGGCGATGCCACGACGGAAACCATCGCGGAGAGCATCGTGTCCAGCGTGCTGAAGCGGTTCACCCAGTCGCCGGAGACCGAGGCCTTTCCGGACACGAAGGTCACGTATGTGGGCCGGAGGGAGCTTCCCGGGGACAAGGGAACCAAGACGGAGATCGTGGTGGAGTCGAGACGGACGGAGGAGATCGACATGAGGGACGGAGCCAGCCTGGACTCCCTTCTGGGCCAGGGCAGGAAGGCCGAGGTGGAGCTGAAGGCCAAGTCCACAGAGCGGATGATCGGGGACCTCATCAGTCTCGGTCTGAAGGGGAGGGAGGGCAGGGCCAAGGTGGTCAACGTGGAGATCGTGGAAGAGCCCGTGAGCTACGTGGCGGGCGGGAGGACGGAGGAGTTTTCCACCCCCTTCCGAGTGGAGGAGGCCGACGACGTGTCTCCGGGGTTCGGGAAGGAGGAGGAGGGCGTTTATGGCGAAACGGAGGTCGCGTTCTCAGCGGCTCGACGTCAGAAATCCACGCCGCCCCCGGGGAACGCGACGCGGGTGGAAGAAGTGACGGAGGCAGGTGACTCGGAGGAAGAGCAGAGTTATTTCGTGTCCACCCCGGAGGAGGGCCCCGAGGGCCGTGACTTCGGGCAGGACAGGGACGAGGGCTCGGTGTACGGGCAGATCCACATCGAAGAGGAGTCCACCATCCGGTACTCCTGGCAGGACGAAATCGTGCCGGCGTCCCGGAGGAGGCTCGAGGGGGACGGAGCGGCGGCCTCCTGGGGAGAGACGGTGGGGAAGCCCCCGGGTACCCCGGCATCCTCTCCGGAGGCGGAGGTGGGCTCCCCGCACTGGATCGAGGAGACGACCAGCGGCGAGTTTCACGCCGAGGCCACGGTCATCGACAAGGAGATTAAAATCCCGCACCAGTTCCACACGTCCATCAACAGAGACTTCAGGGAGCCCAGGCACCAGCTGGTGGAGGTGATGGAGCAGTTGGAGGAGAGCCTCCCGGAGCGGGTGAGGGAGGAGCTGTCCGCCCTCACCGCCCAGGACCAGGGCGGGCTGGGCGGCCGCCTCTCGGTGGACGTGAAGAAAGTCCAGCCCTCGGGCGGCGGGGCCATGACCCTAGTGGCCGAAGTCAACCTGTCCCAGACCGTGGACACCGACCAGCTAGACCTGGAGGAGCTGAGCAGAGACGACGCGGGTGAGATAGAGCGAGCCGTGGAGGCCGTGGTGCGAGGCAGCCTGGCCCAGCGACGCAGCCCGGGACCCGGGAGCCCAGACGGGGATGCTGGAGCGTCACCACCAGCGACCGGCTTGGGCTTCAAGCGCTGGGCCACCCAGGAGCTGTACAGCGCCTCCGCCGAGGACGATGACGCCAGCTGGGCCTCTCGCAGCTCGGAGACGGTCACCACCACGCAGGGGCCGGTGTCGGCCACCGTGGAGGTCACCAGCCCGCGGGGCTTTGCCCGCTCGCACGTGCTGGAGGACGTCAGCTCGTCTGTGAGACACATTAAAATCGGCCCCCCTGGAGTTTGGAGGACCGAGCAGGTCCCCCCCGAAGGACCGGCTGCAGGACAGGTGAGTGGGGAAGGTGGCTGGGGCCGGGCAGCCAGTTCTGAGGGAGCCCGGCTGTTTTTTTGAGGCGCTTTCCAATAGGTCCTGGTCAAAGTCGAGTGTCCAAAGAAATGGTCTCCCAAGTGCCTGACCCTGCCTGGCAGCAGGCAGGGGGTGC